AGTGAAAAATGTAGGACTGAGGGTTGCAACTCTAAATGTGGGGACAATGACAGGCAAAGGTAGAGAACTGGCTGACATGATGCAGAGAAGGAAGGTAAATGTTTTATGTGTCCAAGAGACCAAGTGCAAGGGCAGCAAGGCTCACAGCATTGGAGCAGGGTTCAAACTGTTTCACCATGGTGTGGATAGAAAGAGAAATAGCATAGAGGTGCTCTTGAAGGAGGAGTTGGCAAATAATGTAGTAGAGGTGAAGAGAGTGTCAGATAGGGTGATGTGTTTGAAGATACAAGTAGAAGGTCTGATGCTAAATGTTGTCAGTGTTTATGCTCCTCAGGGTGGATGCGATGTGGAGGAGAAAGATACATTTTGGACGGCTCTGGATGAAGTGATAGAGTATTCTCAGGGAGGAGAGAGTGATGATCAGAACAGACCTGAATGGACATGTTGGTGAATGAAATGGGGGAATGAGGAAGTGATGGGTAGGTTTGGTGTCAAGGAAAGAAACCAGGAAGTAAAGATGGTGGTGGATTTTGCCAAGAGAATGGAAATGGCTGTAGTCAACACTTATTTCCAAAAGAAGGAGGAACATAGAGTGACCTATAAGAGTGGAGGAAGGAGTACGCAGGTCGACTACATTCTGTATAGAAGAGGAAACCTGATGGAGATTGGGAACTGTAAGGTTGTAGCAGGGGAGAGTGTGGTCAGACAGCATCAGATAGTTGTGTGTAGAATGACTGTTGTTGCAATAAAGAGAAAAAAGTAAAACCAGAGAAAACCAAATGGTGGAAAATGTCCTCTGGCTAGAAAGGACAAATTTAGTTAGTCTACTTTATACCACTGCTTTAAATTATCCCTGTCCTCTCAACCAGCCGGTCAAAGCAGATGGCCACTTGTCCTGAGCCTGGTTATGCTGGAGGTTTCTTCCTTTTAAAAGGGAGTTTTTCCTTTCCACTGTTACCACTGTGCTTGCTCAGGATGGGAGACTGTATCGAAGCCAAGATTCATCTTGTCTGCTGGATTCCTTAGATAGAGAACTACTAATTGGCTTTTATGTATGTGAATGTTTCTGTAAAGTGCCCTGAGACAACTTTGTTGTGATTTGGTGCTATATAAATAAACTGAATTGAATTGAATTGAAAAAAGAAGAATCTTGTGAGGATCCAACATTTTTCAGTCAGGTTATCTGGACAGTTTCTTTTTTTGTGCTGAAACATCTTATCACCAACATAACTGGTTTGTTCCACTTTGGAGTAAGCTGTTGGGGGAAGAATCACTTTTGTTGTGTGTTTCCTTGACTGATGAAGCCTTCTGGATCTAAGGCGAAACATTTCAGCACCAAAAAAATAAAAAAATAAACCTGTCCTGATGACCTGACTGAAAAATGTTGGATTACAATCCAATAATTCAGGTATACATACCTGAATTATTGAGCATGGATTTTGTTGTTAATCTTGTGAGGAGTTTAGAGAGGAGCTGTTAAAGGCTGTGGGTCATAAGAAAGAGCTTCCAAATGACTGGGCTACTACAGCAACAGTAATTAGAGAGACAGGTAGGAAGGTACTTGGTGTGTAATCTGGACAGAGAATGAATGAAAGGAAACCTGGTGGTGGAATAGTGAAGTACAGGATGCCATTCAAAAAAAGAGGTTAGTCAAGAAGAAATATGAGAGAGAACTGAAGAGAGGAGACAGGAATATAAGGAGACGTGACATAGAGCAAAAAACGAGGTAGCAAAGACAAAGCAGAAGGTGTATGATGAGTTGTATGGGAGGCTGGACACTAAAGAGGGCGAGAAGGACTTGTACTAATTGGCAAGACAGAGGGATCAGGCTGGTAAAGATGTGCAGCAGGTTAGGCTTGTTAAATATAGGAATGGTAATGTTCTAACAAATGAGGAGAGTGTGACGGGAAGACGGAATGAGTACTTTGAGGAGCTAATAAAAGAAGAGAATGAAAGAGAAAGAAGAGTAGAGGTCATAAAAACTGTGGACCAGGAAGTGGGAAAGATTAGTGAGGGTGAAGTCCGGAAAGCTCTGAAAAGAATGAAGAAAGAGAAAGCAGTAGGACCTGATGACATACCAGTGGAGGTTTGGAAATGTCTTGGAGAGATGGCAGTGAGGTTTTTGACTCAAATATTCAATGGCATATTTGAGGGTGAGAAAATGCCTGAAGAATGGAGAAGAAGTGTGCTGGTGCCCATTTTTAAGAACAAGGGTGATGTACAGAGTTGTAGCAACTACAGTGAATTAAGTTAATGAGTCACATGATGAAGATCTGGGAGAGAGTTGTGGAAGCTAGACTTAGACCAGAGGTGACTATCTGTGAGCAGCAGTATGGTTTCATGCCAAGAAAAAGCACCACAGATGCCATCTTTGCTTTGAGAATGCTGATGGAGAAGTACAGAGAAGGTCAGAAAGAACATTGTGTTTGTGGATTTAGAAAAAGCATATGACAGGGTGCTGAGGAAGGAGGTGTGGTATTGCATAAGGAAATCTGTAGTGGCAGAGAAGTATGTTAGACTGGTACAGGACATGTATGAGGACAGCAGGACATGTACGAGGACAGCAGGACAGTGGTGAGATGTGCTGTAGGAGTGACAGATAGCTTCAAGGTGAAGGTGGGAGTGCAAGAATCGAGTCTGAGCCCCTTTTTGTTTTCTTTGGTGATGGGCCAACTAACAGATGAGGTCAGGCAAGAATCCCCGTGGATGATGATGTTTGCAGATGACATTGTGATATGTGGTGAGAACAGGGAACAGGTGGAAGAGAACTTGAGAGGTGGAGGTATGCACTTGAAAGAAGAGGAATGAAAGTCAGCCATAGTAAGACAGAGTACATGTGTGTGAATGAGAGGGAGGCTGGTGGAACAGTGAGGCTACAAGGAGCAGAGGTCACAAAGGTGCAGGACTTCAAGGACTTGGGATCCACTGTCCAGAAAAATGGGGAGTGTGGTAAAGAAGTGAAAAAGAGAGTCCAGGCAGGATGGAGTGGATGGAGAAAAGTTTCAGGAGTGATTTGTGACAAAATGGTGTCAGCAAAGATCAAAGGAAAAGTTTACAAGACAGTGGTGAGACCAGCTATGTTGTATGGTCTGGAGACGGTAGCACTGAAAAAAAGACAGGAGAAAGAACTGGAAGTGGCAGAAATGAAGATGTTGACGTTCTCCTTAGGAGTGACAAGGATGAATAGGATTAGGAATGAGATCATCAGAGGTACAGCACAGGTTGAACAACTTTGAGATAAAGTTTGAGAGGCCAGACTGAGATGTTTTGAACATGTCCAGAGGAGGGACAGTGGGTATATTGGTAGAAGGATGTTAGAAATGCAGCTGCCAGGAAAAGACAAAGAGGAAGACCAAAGAGGAGATATATGGATGCAGTTAGAGAGGACATGAAGGTAGTTGGGGTGAGGACAGAGTGAGATGGAGGAGGATGACTCGCTTTGGCAACCCCTGAAGAGGGAAAAGCTGAAAGAAGACGATGAAAACTGAACTTACACATCCACTGTATTGTTCAAGCCAAGCGCCATTGTCACCACTGGGTGCTAAGCACCCTTAAAGGTCAGACTAGAATTGCCTGTCCTAATACATTCACAAGTTTGCAATGATAACTTCATGAGAAGATTCCATTGACTTTAAGAGCAAGCTTAATGCCAAATTTACAAACAAGCAATAGTATTTATATTCCAACATTTTTCTCTCTGTGGAACCATGTTTGAGTTATTCTGGGTAATGCTTTTCTAGGAAAAATATTTAGTCTTTTTCTGGCTATTTTTTCTTCTATGTACTCATTTGGTGGATGATTGACAGTGGCAAGGACAGATCTACATAAGGTTCAAACAGATTGAGAGAGAAATGGAGTGTAACTTCCATGCTTGGTTAGGCTAAACCACTTGAGTCACTCCTAGCGTTCTTACTATCAAGAGGTAAGCACTTCTCTAAAAAGTCTTTTGCTGGTCCAAAATGTACCAGAGATACATACCAGAGATCTGTTGGGATTTAGATCTTTCAGTTTTATTTCTTGTTTTATTCTATCCAACAATTGCTACATATGCTGTTGCATATTGTGAATGTATTTCCAGTAACAGTTCAAGGAAAATTCACAATTGTAGATTTACAGTATGACAATATAAATCATATTCCTACGTGTACACAAATCTACACACATATTCTCAAAGTGCCATCACAACATGCAGGGAGATAATAAGACAGTACTGTACATTGTGTGCAAACAGTCAATAAGGGCACTGTACCTGGTAAAGACCGTTTGATTGTACAGCTTTTAACATTTGTTATACTCACTTCTCTTCATTCATTGGCTCGCTGTAAAATTTAAAATAGAAGTTAAAGTTGTACATCTAATATACAAAACTCTGTACATCCAATCTCCATATTACTCCAAAATCTTTTTGTTTCATAATTTCCAAACAGAGACCAGTGATACACAATCAAATTATATACTCAATGAAAAACATATATATACTGTATATATATTTATATATATATATATATAATATCAATACAAGATGCTATACTAACATAAATGTTATCTAAATAAAAATATAGATATAATCTTTCAACTTTTTCAACAAGTGCATAAAATTGCCTTTACTTCATGTAAAATAAAACATATGTGTAAAATGTATGTGCATGTGTAAAACTGTGTGTTTGCAATGCAAATGAGGGATACATGCTTCCCTTATTTGACTTAAGACCAGCAGATGGAGGTAGAACTCCTAGTAAACTTATGTCCCTCTGATCTGATCCATCACAGCCGGACTCCATTCTCATGAAAAGCATGGGTTTCAACATAAAAAAAGTGTTATTTGCAGCTCGGCTTCTGATTGGCTAAAGGTTTTCGAACTTTTTCTTTAACTTACAGAAGTCTCTTTATTAAGCTTATGATGCTGTAGAAGCTCAGTTCTTTATTCACGTTTGAAGGGAACACAACTTTTATCAGCTTTAGATCCGATTTTTTGGTCTGATTTTATGATCCATTCTTGCTTTACACTTTCTAAGTTTTTGAACTTGGGACAGACGATCTTTATAAAAACATGGCAAACTCTTGTCTCCAACTGAGCGGATTTCTCCTCAGTAGCCTCGGCTGGATTGGCATTGTGATTGCTACAGCTACAAATGACTGGGTGACGATGTGCAAATATGGCCTGAACACCTGCAAGAAGATGGATGAGCTGGTTTCTAAAGGACCCTGGGCGGACTGCGTCATCTCGACAGCACTATACCACTGTGTTGCCCTTACTCAGATCCTTGAGCTGCCAGGTGAGATACTATCTGTACATTTTTTCCACCTTCCTTGATGATGTTTGTGCTTGTGTGTGTGCATGTTTATTTGTCTGTTAAGAAAATATCTCGTGAATCACTGGACAGGTTATAATGAAATTTTCAGAAAATAATAATTGAGTTTACATTTTGTATGTGCTTTTGAAGTCGATTCAATTCAAGATGGTCAGCTATGTAAACCTATCAAACACAAAAACTGGTATAATTCAGCCAGTTTTACTAATATTGAGCTGAAATGTCTTTGGTAGGAGCTGAGTGTCATCCATTACACATTCTGAACACTAACTAATGGCACACTATCAGGTTTTAAAACTTTGTCATCAACTATTGAAGTCGACTGGGTCTGCCTGTTTGCAAAATATCTCATGAACCACTTAAATAATTTTAACAAAACTTTCAATATCATCTACAGTCGATTAAATTTTAGAATCATCTAATTTTAGGATGACCACATGAGGTAATCAATACTAGACAAAATAAAATGACCAACTCTGTTTAAATTATATCAGCCTAAGATTTGGTGTGGTAGTAGCTGAGAGTAATTCTCAACACATACTCTGAGTATTACACATTGCACAGGATTTTTACCTAAAACCTTTGCAATACTTGATATAATCAATCCTGTCTGTCTGTTAGTAAACTATCTCATGAATCTCTAGACATAATTTATTGAAACTCCAAGAAAGAACTGAAACTTGTCCTTTGTTTACCTCTCCAGCTTCCATTCAGACGACCCGTGCCCTGATGATCATAGGGTCCATCCTGGGTCTCCCTGCTGTGGGGATGCTCCTCATGTCCATGCCCTGCATCAGTCTGGGCAACGAAGCCCAAAGCTCCAAGAACAAATGTGCCATTCTGGGAGGAGTACTGATGCTTCTAGTTGGTAAGAGACAATTATTATATTGCCCTCTGTCAAAAGGCAAAGACGAGAAAAAAATGTTTTAAGCTGTGTCTGTGTGTGTATGTTCTTGTGACTGGACCCTTGGATGATTTTTAGTAAAACTCGTATAATGTAATCATTGAATGTATATCCACAACTGATCATTTTTGGAGTCAACACTATTCAAGATGGCTGACAAAGCTAATCAACATTAACCACCACAAAAACGGCTGCAACCCAGCCATACTTACAAATATTAAACATATAGTGTGCTAGAAGCTGAGGACTTTTCACAACACCTACTGAGGACATCTGAGGGCACGGGACTGCACAGAACGTTGTTTCCATGCTTTGACCAAAACAGTAACACTGATGATGTAAAACTGTGACATGATGTACATTCATATACTGTACATTCCTTCAAGGCAAGCTAGGCTTTTAATTTACTCACTTTTTTGCAACGAACAGACCAAATGTAAACAAGAGTGCAATTCTTGGCTTTAAATGACCAACATCTCTTCCAAACCTTCTCATTCCGACCTTTTTTAACCTCAGCTCAAATTCTTACAAGCTGCAGAGAGCAGAGGATGTTGGCTATGACACTTTTCCTTTCAGTGGGAAGGGGAGTCAGGGGTGGGGGGGGGGGGGGCATCACATGTTAAAACAGCTCAAACTGTTCAGATGTTTTGGTTACATTTGAACCCATGACATTCCTCCCATCCACCTACTCTTATCCACACCCTGTTTTTGTCCCTGGCCTCAAGAAAATGTCTTCAGCTGCCTTGTTTGCTGTGATTCAAAATATTTGACTTGCTCTAGCATTTTCCACCACCTGCTTTCCTAATAATAATAATAATAAACCCATCTCTTATCCACAGTTCATCAGCATAAATTGATATCTCCACGTTGCACGTTACAAATTAAAGACCATTCCTTGAGTGTAAGCAGCCCGAGATGTCACACTGTGTTGTGAGTGACGTTCAGCTACAATCCCACTGAGCTTATGACTGATTACCTCATGTACAGTAACACGTACACATGTACTAATCAACATGTATCTCTAGTCTTGTCTCTTAATTACTTGTTCAGATTAGAGTGTTTAGTTCAGGTTAGATGTATTTTTGTATTTATTATAGGTCTGTTTGTATTTATTGTTCTGTTGTGTATCTGCACTGTGTGTTGTTTTGTGTTGCACGTTATGTTCTATGTTGCACCGTGATCCTGGGGAACACTGTTTCATTTCAGTATGTACTTGTACATAGCTTAAATGACAATAAAACCTCTCTGACTCTGACTTATCTCTATATCTGTGTTGGCTAATGTGAAGTAGCTGTGACAGCCATCTTGAAAGGTGGTCAGTTATAGGTATACATCCAATGATTACCTACATAAAATCTGTCCAGCGGTTTATGAGACATTTTGCTAACAGACAAACTGTTGATGATAATTTCTTGAATGAAAGGTGGCAGGTAATATGCACTCCTTCAAGGGATGTTATTATTCTATATCTTTATCTTTCTATACAGTGTAACACAAGATCTTTTAATTTATTATGATACACAGCCCCAGTTTTTTCAACATTTTTCTGTTTTTCTCTTTAGCCATGTGTGGAATGGTGTGCACCATCTGGTTCCCCGTTGGTGCCAACCAGGAGCCCGGCCTCATGGCGTTTGGCTTCTCCCTTTACACTGGATGGGTCGGCACGATTTTATGCCTGCTGGGTGGACTGGTGCTCATCTGCACTTCAAGTTCGTCCTCCTCTTCCTCTCGCTCCTACCAGGACAACAACCACTTTTACTACTCCAAACAAGGAGGTGTCAACCTGCCCCCTGCCGCCTCATCCAATCATGCCAAAAGTGCCCATGTCTGAGACTGGGGGCACTGCAAGTCCTATCCAAATATATAAAGGGACCTTGAGGTGTACTTAGAGACTAAGGCATTAAAGGAAACACACACACATAAATCATATTCAATCAGGTCTGTGTTATCTGTGATCTTTTAAATGATTTTTGAAAGGGAACGATTATTTTATCTATTGTAGATACATTTTTGCACACATTGGAGAAATACAGTTTCATTCTGACACAGACATAAACATACATACATACATACATACATACATACATACATACATACATACACACATACTATACGTACATACATACATATATACATACATACACACATACATATATAAAGTACATACATACATGCATACATACATACATACATACATAAAGTACATACAGTACATACATTCATTCATTCAACCTTTATTTAAACAGGTAAATCCCATTGAGCCTCGAGGACTCATTTACAAGAGAGACCTGATTTCAACAAAGAACGATGACAACGGACAACAATAGACAATTATAAAAAAGCATACAGATTTTTTTTTTAATGAATAGGATGGTATACATACATACAGTACATGCATACATACAGTACATTCATACAGTGCATATGTATGTACATACGTACATGCATGCATATGCACATACATACAAAATAAGACACACACATACATATACAGCCGTCCCTCGTTATATTTTGGTTCACTTCTTGTAGCTTCACTGCAGTTTTTTTAAACTCATTTTTTATTTTGTGTGTACTGTACATGCTATGCAGTACTGTACACTCATCTCATCATTGTCATCGCCAAAGAATTTAAGAGCATATGAAGTGTTTACAAGAAAGGTGGAAAGGTTAAGAGAGTGGGAAAGGTTTGTAGGAGTGTGGGAAGAAAGGGTTCATAAAACCTTAAACTCATATGAATAATCAACTAAATATAACACAAATACTTAACAGATTTTCACCTACTGCAGGAGTCTCTGGAATGTAACCCTGCAAGAGTTGAGTGATGATACATATTGTGCATATATCATTGTATTACTGTACTTGCTTTTAGGTCTACATAATTTCTCACCATTAAAAACACTTATGTTCTATATGTTTAAATCATAGATTAGCATTTCCATTTTCTGTTGCTAAAAGTTTAATTAGGGTATTTTTATTATGCATTTAAACACCGGAGTCCAAACTGAATTAACTTGACGTTTCCAATTCAGATGTAAACAACAACAGTGGATACAGTATTCAGTTTCAAAGACTTATAATTGTACATATTTCAACAACAAAAACACATTAAACCTTTCTTCTTTTTTTTTCAAAAACAACTGTGAGGATGAGATATTTGTATTCATATGTTCATGACTGTTTTTTTCTGGCTGGGTGGACACAAACAGGAAGTGTTGCATTTGTGGGAATAACTGTAACCACTGCCTTGAGATAATGTAACATAAGCTGCCTGTTTTCTGGCATGTATAAAGGTGAAACAATCAGAGAACACACTATATTGTAGCATAATTTGAATTTGTGACCTCGAGTGGGAGAAGCCTGCATGAGCCTGTCCCTTACACTCTAAAAGCTAATTGTGTGTACTCCTTCACCCAAGTCAAGGTAATTGAATCACAACACAGATAGTACGCTCTGAAAACATGTGACATCTCTTTTCCCTGATCTTATTGTCAGACACTCAAACAAGTACTGAGTTACTGGACTTTTATCTATCATTGAAACTTTTCATGCAAATTTCATGGCTCACATGTAGGTGCAGGTCAGTGAGCGTGGAAAAGTGTGTTTTCCACGAGGTTCCAGGTAGAGAATGTTAATAGGCCAGTGGAAGGGCTTTTTGAGCAAATAATTATCTGATAGTTCATTTATTTTTATGAAGGAATATGGTTTCTGACAAAGCTGCTAAATGTTTAGACAGGAGATTCAATTTTTCATTCTCTTCATTCTTCACAGTTATCCCTTTAAAATAATATTTTTTATGAATTTATTGTGTTCTCAAGAATCCATCCATCCATCCATTTTCTTTACCCGCTTATTCCACTTTGGGTCACGGGGGTCGCCGGTGCCCATGTCCAGCAATCACTGTGCGAGGGGCGGGGTACACCCTGGACGGGTCGCAAGTCCATCACAGGGACACATAGAGACAAACGAGACAAACAACCATTCACTCTCTCACTCACACCTAGGGACAATTTAGAGTTACCAATCAGCCTAACATGCATGTTTTTGGTCTGTGGGAGGAAACCGGAATACCTGGAGAAAACCCACGCATGCACGGAGAGAACATGCAAACTCCACCCAGAAAGGCCCCTGGACCGGGTTTTGAACCAGGGACCTGCTTGCTGAGAGGCAGCAGCTCTACCAGTTGCGCCACCGTGCTGCCCTGTTCTCAAGAATCTGCTTTCTAATTCAATTCAATTCAGTTCAAAATTACTTTATTAATCCCAAAGGGAAATTAATTGTTGTTGTAGCTCATCATCCTGGTTTCATTAAAGAGTTGTTATAGATGCTGATGGCTGTGGGCAGGATCTTTTGTAACGGTCCGTCCCACGGCAAATCTGAAGAAACTGGCCACAGATGCTGATTCATCCTTCCGGACCCAGCAGACCTCTCAGTCCTCTTGGGCAGCAGTACTGCCTGAATGCTGGGCACTCCCAGAGCGATGGTTACTTCTCCCAGCAGCCTGTGGAGCCCCTCATCGCCAACAGCAAGCTGCAGGTGCCAGGGGACGATCCCAGTCCTCCCGCTGTCACAAGCCGCGTTTCCCACCAGCTCCAGGATCTTGGCGGTCAGGCACTCGAGCGCCGCCACCAGGTAGATGGGAATGCATCCATGGCACCTCCTTTTCAACTCGTTGGGGATTTGGGGCTGTAGTTGAGGTATATGAGCTTTTGAGATGTTAATCAGCAGCTCCCATTTGCAGAAAACCACACTGTTGTTATGGTTACACATCATAACAAACGTCCAAAAGTTAAAAAAAAGGTTTCAGTAAAAATCCTTCCAGCCACACAGCATCCGATACCAGAGCAAGTAATCGTCCAATAGATGATTTACATCCAGAAAAGGAGGAATTAAAGTTTTCAGAAGCAAAATCTCTGAATGAAAGTAACAGAGCTCCAACATGCAGCCACCCTGAGCAGCACAATAATAACTTTATTAGAAATTAACTTTATTAACTTTAATTGACCTTTTTTTTACTTTATTTTTTTATTTATGTTTATTTTTTTATTATTGTATAATAACTTTGTAATTCTTGGTTGTCATTCATTAAAGACTGGGAAAAAAAATCATTTTAATAGT